CTTTTTTTTCTCTTTCTCTTTCTTTTTGTTTCTTTTTTTCAGCAATTACAAACAGTTTTTTTTAAAATTCTTTTCAATTGTTTTTGACTTTATATTTTTTATGTTTTTAAAATAAAATGATAGTCACAATAAATCCCCCCAAAAAAACTCAAACAAGATGCAAAAGGATTGTAATGAACCTTGCAGTCAAACTAAGTGAGGAAGAGAGGGGAGGTACCCGCGGTACCTGCCAAAAGTACCGCCAGTACCCGCCGGGAGGTGCCTGGTGCGGTACTTGGTACCTATTTTCTGAAAAAAATCAACAGGTACCTAGGTACCAACAGGTACCCGAGTACGAACGAACGATCTCTACTCTCTGCCCTTTCTCTTTTTTCAAGTCATCATAAAATCAGACCAGAATATTTTCATCAAGTAGCTTGTTTTCTGTTATTATTAAGCCCCTCTGAGTCAAATATGAACCCTAAGTGATCAGCTCTTCTCAACAACTCATGTCTCTACAATGATTTCTCCTCTTTCCTGATCTTTTAGATTGATTTATTAAAACCTGATTAATTAGAATTAAAAACTCTAAATATCTGTGGATTATAGCATGTTTTTCCTTGATTGACTCATCTGGCTTGACTAAAAGAGACTGAGAAGCCCTGTCCGATTTATTTCTTCCAAATACTCATGTTTCTTCCTCTCAGTGTTTTATTCAATATGTTTTTAATTCATTTCTCTTAACCACTTTTTCACCGCTTGTATCTAGTCTATTTAAAACATGACTAGATGCTAGTGAATAAAAATCATTGGTTCTTTACACTCTTTTTCCATGAGCCCTTCCCAAAAATAAGATCCTCTTTTTTTGGACCTTCACCTCTTACGTGCTTTAGCTTTAAAATTTCAACATTGGTTATATCTGATACCCCCCTAATGTATGTTTTGTGACTCAGGGTTCCTTCTCTTGATTCAATTTTTCATGTATTTTTTACTTTATCTATAAATTAGAAAGATACAGATAAAACAAATTCTTATGATAAAAATTCAATCATGCATTCTGTCAGAAATGGGCCACTAGCTAGTGTAGTGGCCCTCAAAACAGTGCTGAAACCCTTTAGTGTTAGCATACTGTTAATCCCACCCTGCTCTGTTAGGCTGTGCTACAGTGCTTTTAGCTTCCAAATGGCAAAAAAACTGCTAAAATGTGCTGTACTGCAGTATAGTGGGCCCTTTTTTTGTGGCCTGTGCACACAGCTCTAGCGCAGTTGTGGCACAATTCTGCTGCGCTATGCTATGATTTAGTGGAATTCTGCTGCAGTTGTGGATGGCACAAACCAGCCCTGCCCCTCCCACAAAAAAAGGCCAACTTTGAGCCTCATATTTGAGTGTGATAATGGTGCTACACTCACAAACTTTTCATTCTTGGATGCTACATTTGACATAGAACACAAAATTATGTAGTAAAAGCACATATGTAGAAAGTCTCAAAATAGATTTTGAATCTTACAGATGCATTACACAATTCTGTGTTCTCTAATCAATGTAGCATCCAACCATGTAGAGCATGTGTGAGTAGAATGACTATTACATCCAAACATCTCAAAGTTAGCCTTTTTTGTGGAAGGGGCAAGGTTGGTTTATTTCATCTGCAACTGTATGTTACAATGCACTAATGCTACCATCAGTGTGACTGGCTCATTGTTGATTCTGTTGACTGTGCACAAAACCAAGCTCTGATCTTTGGTGACAAAATATATATCAAAAAAATCACAAGAAATCTTGTAAATTTTGAAAACACTGAAAAAGGAACAAAAAAAGAAGCAGCATGTAACCAGCATTTTTTAGAGGGTTGAAGTATAGACAAGTAAACAGTGAAGATGAGATTCTTTTGGTTGATGGGCTGTGGAATAACTGAGCGCAAGCCCTTTGATTTTGATCTGGAGCGCAAGTGAGGAAGACTGGATGACTTCCCGTCGGCATTTACGACCCTCCCAGAATTGGATTTACACCATGAAGGGCTTAATTTTTGGCAAAAAAAATATTTCTTCAGAAGCCTTGTAGTAAAGGCCCTCATGTGAGCTAGTTGAGGTTGTGATTAGAGTGTTAATTTAGACCTGAGAGAGGTCTAAAAAACACTCTAAACCGCGACGGGAAGTCCTCCACTCAGGGGGACTTTTGTTAAATTAGGCATGTCAGATGGGCTCAAACTTTGTTAATATGGGAGAAGCTACATAGTATGCGAACTTAACACAAGGTCCCTCCGAGGAGGTCGCGTAGCGACCTCCGAAGGAGGGACTTGCATCCAAAGTCACATATCTCACCCTACGGAGTCCAGCCATTTGGCTGGAAGTAACTCCCCCTCCCCCATAGCACCCACTAGCACTCATCTTCTCGTTCCGCCTCTGGTGCCATTAAATTCACAAGATTCATAGGATAATTTTCATATTTTCCAATTCTTCAATATCTGTTCGTGCCCCTGAGTAACATCCTGTAAAGATGGGCCTGTGGAAAATATCTGTAAACAATCCGGCTTTCTCAAGGCCGGATTGTCCACCAAAAATATCTGGCAATAAATAAATACTTTCATAAAACATAGTATGGATATAATATGAGTAATGTATTAACCAGGACTTCAAGTATTGTTTATCAACTTAAAGTTATTTTTGTATATTGCGTTAAGTCCAAGTCGATTCCTATGTCTTGATGTCGTACTAGAATCGAATATTTGTTTCTTCCGCTAGAGCTTTCAACAAGGCCCCATATGTAAATCATATGGGCCTCATCGACAACAACAAGGCCAAGTCTTTCTTGGAACGCTGGGCTAAAATAAACCGAATCCCAAAGCTTGCTATTGAGAAATATCTCGGGACTGAGGTACACAAAATTGTACACACCGGACTTGATTTGCTCGGCAACAAATGGGTTGAATGTGAGCTTTGTTAAGTTTATAGCAGTAAATTTTCCCTTCTTCTCTTCAACTTGATTATCACCCAATGCATCAAGTGGGTTTAGAACCAGCACCACAGGCTTTGATTTGGGTGGCAAGGTCTTGAAATACATCTCGGCGATCCTCGACTTTCCAAATCCAGTGCCTGCTAGAAGAAAAGCACTCTTCCCTCGCGCTAGAGTTGCAACCGTCTCAACTTGAATTGGCTTTGGATCTTGGCCGTTATAGTCGTTCTTTGCTCGAGTAGCAATCTCGGTCTTCAGTGCATCGTCTTTTTTTTCGAGCAGTTTCTTCAGTGGCGTGATTCCTGTGGTTGCTTTCTGGGGGCTAAGGCTAGCTTTTGGTTGACCTTTCTTTGGCCGTATCATCTTCGTGTTTGGTTTTGTTATGTCAAGGTAGGTCTTATCTTAAGCTCTCTTCAAATTTCTCTTGTACTCTGCATTACGACCTATGACGACCCTCATTCTTCTTTTGAGCGCTGTGAGAACTAAATGCCAGCCAATTCAAGCGACTTTCTATTGCAAACCGGATACTATGTATTTGCGTTGAATCCGACAGAAACCCGTGAGAGGGTCCAAGATCTGATGATTTCGGATCAGAAATAAGATTTTTTTTTACTTCGCAAAAGTTCCGATCATTGCTGGCTAAAAACACAGGAGGAAAAGTGGTTTGTGGAAGATAATTTACAAAATTTGACGAGCTGAGAGCTGAGAAGGAAGTTCACATTTTGTTCTACTCAGAATCGTGTTAAGATGAATGATGTATTTTTAATTAATTTTCAAAGTCAAAAAAATGCATTTTTTCATGTAAATCTCATTTACGTAGTGACACTAGAGGCACTTTGGAGGTAAGCCTCTCCTTCGGAGAGCATCCCTTCGGGATGCGGGGTCCCTTCGGGACCCGATTGAGAGGCTTATGTTAAGCTCGCATAGTATGCCGGAAAGAGCCGAAAAAGTGTTGATTATTCTGGCGGGGATTCGGGGAGCGAGTCGGCTCTCCCCGAAAACTCCCCCAACCTTACGACGGAAACCTCGGGGGTTGAGCAGCAGCCCGGACCCCTGCTGATAAGTTGTTGACCGTTTCCGACACAACGTTTCGGGTTTTCTTTCTCTCTTACCACTTGATACAACTTAAGGTCTCAGACTATTCGTTCACCACCCTCCACATCACCACCAAACCCACAGTATCTGATCAGGATGTTTCCAGAAAGAAGTAAAAAGATTCTTTGGAATCATTCGTTGGCTGATTATCGACACCCGCTGACGATTTTTCTTTCGATTGTTATTCCTCTACTCGATAGACTTCGCGGGCCATAGTAATGGATTCGGGATGGCGCATAAGGTACCTAGCTTTTTACGACATCTTGTATGACGAGACCATCTGAAAAATAGCTGTCTGTTTATTGTTGATTATCGTTAGGATTCTGAGCGTTGGGGAAACGATGTGCGAAGGAGAGAGGATGAAAATTTTGTATGTTCTTCGATGTTCTCGTGCTTTTTTTGGGCACCAAACTGACCCGTTCAACACGAAACTACATAGCGTAACTTTCCTAGCCGCCGCCCTAGACGTTCACTTTCTCGATCGCGATCGCCTCGGAGGATGCGCCGCTCAAAATCAAGAAGTCGCTCACCTCGGCCCGATCGTCGCTCGTCTCCTGGTCGATACCGACATGATCGAGGTATGTCTCAAAATGTTTGACAAATCGAATTTTATGCCCTCAGCCTTCTCTCCTAACGTGGATCGCGCATTGTTTTGGATCCTGAAGACAGGGATGATGTCAGTCCGAAATATGCGTATTCTAACGGTCGCCCCGGTGGCTTCAGCTCCCGAGGACGGGGTCATTTTGAAGATTCCGGAAGACGTGCCACTGGTCGCGAGATGGCTGCCCTCGAAGCCAGCAAACGGAGTGTCAAAGAGAATCGCGTTTACGTAGGCAATTTGGCCTTTTCGGTTAAATGGAGTGATCTAAAGGTCTGTGACATTAAACAACCCGCGGCAGTCCGAGCTGGAAACCATCTTTATTACCCGCACTAGTTATCTTGATGAATGAGTAATGTTGACATTTTTGCTTTTGGCAGGATTTCATGCGTGAGGGTGGGTCAAGTTTGCTAGACAGCTATTTTCTCCAACATTCGAGCCTGCTTGGGCCGCCTATTTCGCACTTCTTTTCACATCCAGACGAGCACCTTCTCGCAACATCTAAGCTCGTTTGCCATCTTAAGGAGTATTGGGGGTATTAAGTTGCCTTTGATCGGGTACTGTAAATAGTGTTGTGAAGATGGTGGTGGCAAAGGGCGCCTCGTGATTTATGAGTGCTAAGCTAGGCGAGCTACGGATATACCAATAGACCTGACGGGCAAGGTAGCGCCTCATGCCTTTCTATATCACTGGGTTACTACTCTAAACCCCTCAAGACACCCTTCGCTCAATCATCCGACTCAGTCGAATCAAAACCAGATTCAGGAGGATTGGTCTGTCTATTCTGGTATGGTTTTGTAAAGAAAGCTGGATAATGTAGTAGTATTGTAGCTAAGCTGATGATAGGGAAGGGCAGAGGGCTAGATGGTGGCAAACATGATTTAAAAATGGGTGTATGGTTACTGACGGAAGGGGTGGATTTGGTTGCATCTGAAAATCATCATGGGGACAATTGGCATGTTTGGTTGATCACAATTTACAGTTGGGAACGTGGTCTTTGCGGAGGTGATGGTTCTTGCAAATGGCATGAGTAAAGTAAGGCTTCTCCTCCAATTTACCGTATCTACCAAGGAAATACAAATCACTAACGTCTCATCAAAGGGTTGCGGAGTTGTCGAATTTAGTACACGTCAAGAGGCTGAACGAGCTGTCAAGGAGTTGAATGATACCCCCCTTTTTGGTCGTCAGGTTTTTGTCCGAGAGGTATGTAATTTCTAGCCGAATTGTTTTCTTGAGGGGACACTTTGCGTATGAAACACCCCCATCCTGGCGTTGGTAACCTTGCTGAGTATGGATTTGGATGGCAGGATCGGGAAGAGGAAGCACGGTATGGCTCGCTGGCTGTTTCTGGTGGGAATGGTGGTCGTGGGCCATTGCCCAGTGGATTTAGTAGCCGTGGTACTGGTAGCGTCGGACGTGGATTTTCAGGGGGGCGTAGCAGCTTTTCGGAAGGAGGCCAATCCTGCAAGCAACTCTCTATCTCAGGAGTATGTACCTTCATCTTGTTCATATTTCACTCGCCACTTAATGAGGCCAATAATTTACTCCATTTCTCTTAGTTACCATTCAACGTGGGATGGCAAGACCTCAAAGACATGTTTCGTTCAGCCGGTAGCATCATTAGAGCTGATGTTTATTTTGATGCTGATGGATCACCCACTGGCAATGGGACGGTGATCTTTGAGACATCCAGAGATGCCCAGAATGCTATTTGTTTGTCAACCTTCTCTCTTATGATGGCTGCTCTTCACACCATAATAACCCTCCATTTGTTTCTTCAGCCATGTTCAACGGCTTCGAATATGAAGGACGCACCATGGAGGTCCGTGAAGATCGCTCCGCTGGCGCTAATTCTGGATTCAGAGGTGGCTTCCGAGGCAGTAGTAGGGGTTGGTTAGATTTCCGAGGTTCCACTAGCTTAATAGATCTTCCTCGAATTAATTTCTTGGTGACTTGATTGGTTCAACGTAGGCGGACGTGGTAGTGTCAGGGGTGGCTTTGGTAGCAGTGGTCCTGGTGGACGGGACACCACAAATCTCTACGGAGACTACTCAGGGCAAGACGGATCTCCGGGAAGTCCACCTGGGCATACAGGCGCTCCCCGAGGACTCATTGGAGGCCCTCCATTGAGCATCGAACCAAACCAGCAAATCTTCGTCAAAAACGTGAGTCAATCGTGACATAAACAAACATCGAGTCGTGGATGCTGCTTTTGTCGAGCAAAGGACTAAATTTGGGATTCTGATCAATTAGCTTCCATGGTCAACCTCAAACGATGACTTGGTGGAACTATTCCAAACAACCGGAAAAGTACAAAATGCTGAAGTCTTGTTTGAGGGTGGGAGATCCAAAGGGGTTGGTGTAGTCCAATTTGAAACTGTTCAGGAAGCAGAAACGGCAATTGGTACGTTGATCGAGGATAACACCCAATTCAATCAGGAGAAACAATTAAGCAAGGTTCTTTTTTTTCCGGACAGCTAAATTCCAAAATTACTCTTATGGAGGACGACCGTTATCCCTTGAGTTCAACGGCCGTTGGCGCGACTTCTCATTTGCCGGACCAGGCAATTGAAGCAGGATCCAACAAAATTTATTCTTCCCATAATGTTTTCTTCCAGAGCAGTAATTTAAGCCAAAGTTACCCCTTGTTTACCTTTTTTATTTTCAAGATACATCCAAGTTGAAGCAGTTTGAAATAAATCAGTGCATACATTTCAAGTTCAACTGTACTTCAGGCCTCAGTCTCAGATTGGATCATTGCAAATAAAAATCTACACTATACAAGAAAGATAGCCGTGCTGTATTTCCTTTGAACCTGTAGCATTCGAACATTTCAGTCTATGAAATAGCTGGATGATGGTAGGGCTGGAGCCTGAGGCTGATGATATCGGGAGTTAAAGACGGCTCGGCGCATGCTAGTGTGTTAAACCAAAGTTGCGCTTGAAAAGCAAAGTCATGGGATTGAATTCCTCCTACAATGTATGTACCACGATGACATCCGGGAAAGTCTCTCCTCGTCTTCAACCATGCAGTTTTCACTTTTCCCAAAAGGCAGTCCGCATGACGATGAAGAAAAAGAGAATGTCCCAACAGTGGCTTGAACACTGGACCTTCAGATTGCGCTAGGCTTCAGTCTGACGCTCTCCCAACTGAGCTATTGAGACTGGTGGATGGGGACATTGGAGGTTCTGCGGCCCAGATCCGCAGCAGAAGCCTCATGAAAAATGCAGTGCAAAACGTCATGCATGTGAGCATTTCCTAAGTTGAATGAAGTAGACACGGATTCCCAGTTATACAATAATGTTATATCTGGAGGCTATTAAATCCGCGGACTTCTGCGGAGTAATGGATTCAGCTACTTAAGCCGAGGTTGGCGAATTGGAATCTGTGCTCAGGATGGGTCCTCTTTGTTGGGGTTGATCATCAAGGTCAACAGCTCTCCCCACACGCTCTCTCCCTGAGGGAATGGTGTTTGTTTTATGGCTGGTTCATTAAGGAGTACAAAGATGTTGCAAGGAGTGGGAGCGAAATCGGGAGATGTAGGTAGTTGCTAATTGTAAGTGGCTCATTCTCTTGTGCTTGTGACTAATGATGATGATACAATGCGGATATAAGTTTTTCGGATTGCTTATTCTGTTCTGGGGTCGGTTAAGCTCTGGTCCGGAGAATCGTCTGTTGAGTCTCTCTCCCTCAGATGATTCATCAATTGACGAAAGCTACGTGATCAATTAGAACAAGCACGTGAGATCAGGGAAGATCGATGTACGATGAAGTTGGGTAGGGGGAGTGGGGCGGAGGGATAAACTTACTAGTCCCCATCGAAGCCTTTGTTTGAAAACACACTGTCCGGATTATGCCATGGAGCCAGGTTCCGTTGCACTTTTGGCTGCATCTTTCGGCGATCAGTCGGCCATCGATCGAAGTCTACTTCGGAAGGTAACGGAAGTGTCGATTCGGTATAAGGCCTCAACTGTGACCATTTTTTTTTTACAGAAAAGTAAATGGTCATTTATGAATACTCCGGATGATGATCATGTGTGCCTTTCAGAAAGAGAAGCGAAAAAAAAAAGGACTGACGTCCGGACGAGAGCTGAGTTCACGGAAGTCATGGACCACTTGCGGGACGATAAAGGAGCGCATTTTCTTAGGTTCCAAGCGATAGATCCGTCCCAAGACCCGTCCAGTGCCATGCGAACCCTGGGATTTAGGACCGAGCGCAGGATGACTACCGGTACCTAAGAACAAGAGCTCGGTCAGAGCCTAGATATGGAGTATGATGCAACAAAAAAAGATATAGGGATCCTCACCTTTGTAGAAGCCTACACCGGCTTGCTTGCTGGTTAATGGGGCTCGACGGGCTCCCTGAACCACTGCTGATGGACTGAACGCCATTTCCTCGGGCTGTTGTTCGTGGAATCGCTTGGGTTCTATCTGCCGCGTTTCATGGCTCTTGAGAGAAGCGTCTTCATAAGTGTGCCCAGCTGCGCAACCTTCCTGCGTCTACATAAGCCCCCCTCAAAGAGGCTAGTATCGAGCGGGCTTTCCCGTGGCTCCCGGCCCTGGCCCACATCGGGCAGACACTCTTCTTCTCCAGGAGATGAACATGTGCACAATAGTGCGCCATTTCTCATTTGAAACATTTTGGCTTCAAATAGAAAAGATGGAATGATTTGTCAAGCTATTCCTGATGTGTTGATTGCTCCCTGGATGTCCTGGTGGTGATGATAAGTTTAAAGTGGATGTGATCAATGAGAGGATTTTAGTTTTCGCTAGATGGAAGCTGACATCATTTGAGTCCAGAATGAGTATTGCTTGTCTGAGACATGAGGGCCTATGTTAGGTGTTGGGTGGGCTGAGTCAGTCGAGCTGCAAGTTCTTCGATTGCTGTGTTGAGTGCCAGTGACAGCGATCGAGAGTGCTGTGAAGAGTTCGGTCAGATGCTTCCTCGACTTCTTCGTCACCAGCAACACCAACTACTCACCACCACCACCAACAACAACAAGACCAAAACACTCAGACGACCACACACGAACCCATTTGCATCACAATCAGCCAGGATGTCCAACACACCCGGGGTAGTCCTAGCAGTCAAGCCGGACGGGACGACGACGGCCCAGACGGCGACTGGAGCCTCCAAATACCAAGCCATACTCGACGAGCACTGGAAGAATGCAGAGCCGAAGGGCAAGCCGCTCGAGACCAAGCTCTTCTTCGGCCCCGAGAGCACCGCGATCGCCGCCGTCGGCACCGGCAAGATCTCCGAGGCCCTCAGCGAGATCGAGAAGGCCGACAAGACCCGCAAGATCGTCGGCTCCGGCGCAAAGGCTTTGAAGGAACATATCAGCCATAACAGGGAGGTCCTTGTTGACACCGTCTGGAGCTCCCATGCTGCTGCCGTCGGTGCTACCGTATCGACCTTCAACTACGTCAGTCCCATTCTATACATCCCTCCCATCTCCATTCCTCCATATCACTCACGCTTCTTTCTTTCTTTGTGTGTGTCTGTATGGATGGCAACAGAGCCTCAAGACGAAGAAAGAGGCGGTCGAGAAACGGATCCCGATCTCTTACAAGCCTCTGAGCGACCAACCCGTGCAACTGTCGATCGAGAAAGCTAATGGGAAGCTCATCGGCCTCGACTGGTCGACAGGCCTCGTCTTCGGCCAGGCCCAGAACCTCGCCCGGGAACTCATGGAGAGCCCGGCTAATCTGATGACCCCCACCCTGTTCTGTGAAAGGATCACAAAAGAGTTCCAGGGAATCAAGAACGTCGAGATCCAAGCCCACGATAAATGTTTGTACTTCTCCTACCTTGAAACCTATATCTTGACTATCTTTCTCATCGTCATCACTTTTTTTGCTCCCCCTCTACGGCTTTGGTGGTTGGGTTTCTTAAGCTTGGGCCGAGGCCAAGAAGATGAACTCGTTCCTGTCGGTGGCTAGGGGAACCACGGAGCCATGCAAGTTCCTCGAAATACATTACAAGGGCGCGAGTGGAGGGGCTGGAGAATTCAAGCCGACGGTTGCGCTGGTCGGCAAGGGGATCACGTTCGGTATGCACTTTGTTTTTTTTTTTTAATCACACGGATTGCATCTATTCTCATGATAAGATGGATGTGTTTTTTGACATGTAGACTCTGGAGGGATCTCTATCAAGGGCGGGGCCGGGATGAAGCTGATGAGAGCCGACATGGGTGGGGCGGCCACAGTGACGAGCGCGGGATGGGCGATCGCCAAGCTGGGCATCCCCATCGATATGCTCATTTGCACCCCCTTGACCGGTCAGTCCTCCTCCCCCCCCCCCCCTCTCTCTCTCGAGCCATCTCAACTCAATGATCGCCGCGTTACTCAAATAAAATCTGTGTATGTTTAGAAAACATGCCCAGTGGTCACGCTACTAAGCCTGGTGACATTATCTATGCTATGAACGGAAAGAGCATCGAAGGTTCGTCCATGCCATTCATTTTTCATTGTCTGAACACGAAACTTCGCATTCATTGGAATGTTACTAATCCACGGTTTGTCTTTATTATCAAGTCGATAACACTGACGCTGAGGGTCGATTAGTATTGGCCGACGCATTGTACTACGCCTCTTCCGTCTACAAACCTAAGACGGTCATCGGTTCATACATATTTTCTTTCTTTAACTGTCTTCATTGGCATAAATAAAATTGACTGATCCGATCTTCTTCTTCTTCTTCACTCTAGATTGTGCCACACTTACTGGGGCCATGATGATAGCGTA